CAAGAAATCTGCTGATTTGTGACAAGAAATCAGATTAGAAGTAGAAACAAGCTGTCTGAAAAGCTTGATTTCTAGAATTATAATTATTGAAGAACAAGAGAATGAGAATATTTATAACTCAATTTCAGAAAGTATGAGTAGTCTGCTTTATAAACTTCAGAATGAGAACATTCAGTCTGCTGAGCTGTATATGATTTTAAATTCTTTTGCTGAGTCAGCATTTTATTAACAAGCAGACTGACATCTCTTGAAGAATGATCAGCTGATTATCCATGATTTAAAAATATATGTATCTCAAGACTCAGCAGTTGGACAAGAACTGCTGAGAAGTCATTATGATAATGTATAAATTGATTATAATGACATTTAAAAGATATTGAAGCTTCTCCAATATAAATAATACTGAAATTGAATAATAAAAAATGTGAAGAAGTATGTTAGCTTCTGCTACATGTGTAACTTAATAAAATCTCACCATTATAAGTCTTATGAGAAGTTAGTAAGCTTGCTCATAGTAATAAGTTCTTAAAGACATAAGATTATGAATTTTGTTGTAGAACTTTCACTCTTGCTGTTAGATAGCAGAATGTACAACACTATCTTGACAATAGTGAATAGATTCTCAAAAATAATTAAGTACATTTCTGTTACTGAAGACATTAAGACATCTGAACTAGTCAATTTTTTTATTATACATGTTATGAGTTAATATAGATGCTTGAAATCTATCTTATCTGATTACAGATTACTATTTACTAGCTGCTATTAAATGAAGATGTATCATTATTTTTCTATTAAATAAAATTTCAGCATCACTTATCATTCACAAACTGATAGTCAAATTGAATGACTGAATTAAATTCTTAAACAATATATTTGCTTGTATGTGAATTATCAGCAGAATGACTGAATTCAGCTGCTATTTATTATTGAGTTCACATATAATAACAGTCAGAATACATCAACAGAAAAAATCTCATTTAAGCTTGTTTTAATCTTCAAACATCAGTTATTTGTTGGTCTGCAGACTGATTCATCATTTAATCTGTCAGAAGTCATCAAAGAAATTGAATAAATTCAATAAATTCATAAGCAAGCTGTTCAATCACTGCAAACTGCTGTTGACACACAAGTCAAGTATTACAATTAATATCATAAATCAATACAATATCAAGTAGAAGATCACATTCTATTTAACTGAAAAAATATAAAGACTTTAAAACCTTCTATTAAGCTAGATAATTGATTTTTAGAATCTTTTGAAATTATAGCTATATAAGAAAAGCAAGCTTATATGTTAAGACATTCAAAGTCATATGAACAAATTAATTCAACTTTTCATGTTTTATTGTTGAAGTTTTATTAAAAATATATCAGCAATCAATCTGCAACTCCACAGTCAGTATTAATCAATAATAAAGAAGAATGAAAAGTAGAGACCATTCTTAATAAATGTATTCACCATTTAAAAATCAAATATCTAGTTAAATAAAAAGACTTTTCTTTCTATAAAAATCAATAAATAAAAGCAGAAGATCTTTCAAACTGCAATAAACTTATTACAGAATTCAAACAGCTACTCAAAGCCTCAATTAAGAGGCATTGCTGCAAGTTTGCTACACAATAACCACTTTATAGCTGCTAGCAGCTAATAAAGAGAGAGAAGAAATATAATTTATAAAAAAATTTATAATAGAAAGACAGAAGAAAATATTTTCATTCAAAATCTGAAGACTGATGGAAAAAGGTCAAAAAGATTTAAGACTCAAAAACTATTAAACAAACTAAAAACATAACAAACTGATGAAAAACTGACAATCTATCAATAATTAATTATTATCTTCAATAAGTCTCATTGACTTCTTCTCTTCCTTCAGAAATTCAGTCTCAATCTCAGACAATTTAAAAAACTGAGTAATATTGTTAGACATCATCTGTAGTATTCTCTCCAGTCATAAAAGAAAGATGAGAATGACACAGAGTTCTGACTCAGAAACAGTGATAATAAAGATGAGAGCAATAAAAGCAGCAGCAGAAGCATGATGTGATGTGATTTAAAAGACATCTGTCTTATAAAAAAAGATATTAATTACTGAAATCTCTCTCTGCAAGTAAGAAAGAATCTTCAAAGTTGAATAATTATCAGTAGCTAGCTGATGCATCATCACAATCTTATTATGAGGAATGAGAAGAACTGCCACACATGCTTTTCTGTGTGCAAAGCACTGAAAACACTTGTCAAATATAACAGAAAATGAACAGACTGTAGTGTAATCTTGCACTAGATATTTAACACATCACATGCATGTGACAGTCTGATTGCTGATCTGCTGCAAGCTGTCAGTGAAATTTAGAAAGAAAAAACTTGATATATTTCTTCAGAATTCTTAAAAAGCACTTACAGAGACAGCAGAAACATTTGAATTAATTACATTTACAGTTATTTCATCTCTTAAATTCTATCTTTTTATTAGTTACTGCTATCTATCTGCTAGATATCAGTATCTTACAAAAGATACATTGTGACTGAATTCTTCAGAACTGATAGCTGCAACAGAAGAATTCTATAAATAAGAAGTGAAAGATGAGATGAGAGACTGATTAAAGAATTTATTAGCTTATTACTAACTAGCTTTCTTCATATATATAAGAACTTATAGAGAATGAAGAATGAGCAGAGATGGCTAAATGTTCTGAAGCAGCTGAAGCAGTAGTTGCAGCTGCAGCTGCAACATGAGCACACTTCTTTACTGCTGAAGCAGCTAGTGGCACCACTCAGCTGTTTAGAGATCATCTAGCAGTGAGATTGACATGTTAGCTTGACAGAAATCAACAAGAACATCTCAAATTTAAAAATACTTACAGTAAAAGCATGAAAAAACTCAGATTCAAATCAAAAGAGAAACTAAATTATTATTGTTAATAAAATTGTCTTATACAGATTCCATTTCACTTACAAACAGAAGAAAAGCTGGTGATTTGCAGAGATTTTATCACTATCTATCAGTGACTCATCTAATAATTAATGAGAATCTTCAGCATCTACTGCTTCTAGAATTTAAATGCTCTAAGAAAGAAAAAAAAAGAGAAAGAGAATGAACTTATTTTTATTAATTTTATAATTTCAATATAATACAACTCTGAAAGCTTCTGATTGATCAATAATCTAGCTTACAAAACAAAATATTTCTAATTCATATAATCTGCTGTGGAGTGATTATTGAAACAAGAGCTTTAGAATCTCATATGAGTTCTTCAGAAATCTGAGAACATGTTTCTCTAAGAAGAGAATAATTATAAGAATGTCACTAGTAAAGAACAGCTATCTAGTCATCATGCAGTAGATAATATTTATAACAGCATTATGATAAAGTGTTGTCACTTCAAAGATATAAGCAGAAGACTGTCTTGTCTACTAAAAAAAAAGCAAGTGATTTGTTTACTATTCATTTACTACTAGAATCTACTCTACATTTTATATATATTATTATACACATTTGGTTATAGTCAATACTATCTAGCTCAATAGCAATAACCTCTATCTAGCTACTAGCTAGCTGATAGTTATCAGTACTCTTATAGTTCCATTTCAATATCAAAGAGATGTGTAGTCTCTGACTGTGGTCAAGCTAGTCATTACAATGATTAAATATTAACTGAATTTCTCTTTTTTATATTAATGAGAGTATTCATTTAATCAGAATTTTGAATAATTTTATATCTGAAAGAACTTTCTTTAATCTGTTTACTGAAATATAGTCAAAAGCTTCTTTAATATTCATAAAAAGAGTAGAGATTATCAAGTCTTTGGAGTTATTTAACTGAATATTATGAGTTAAACTTATAACTGTATTAATAGCAGAGTATTACTTCTTATCACCAAACTGATCATTACAGAGTAAATCAGTTGTGAAGGCAAGAAAGAAAAGTCTTGTTGCAATAACTCTTTCTATAACTTTTCTCATACAGTTAAGAAGAGAAATAATTCTGTATAATTTAAAAATTAAAGCTTTTCTGTTTGATTTGTTCTGAATAACTTCAATAGCTTGTCTTCAGATTTGTGGATGATATTCACATTTAAAAAGAGTACTATATAATTGAAAAAATCTATCTTTCAGATGTTAGAGTTAATATATTATTAAATGCTATTAGATAGAAGAATGTTCTGTCAATAATTTGATCATTTGATTTAATTTGTAAGAGATAATAGAGATGGAGAAACAATTATAGGCTATAGCTGAAGTAAAAGTAAAATTTATATTTATTTTACATGAATAGAAGACAGCTTGCAAGAATTCACACCTTTCTAAATTTAAAATATATAAATTTATAGTAAGTTTAATAGATTTAAATAAAAAATTAAATAAGAGTAGTTGAATAACTTCTCTTAAATTTGATAGATATGAATCTTTATTTATATTGAAAAGTTATAATAAAAGCTAAGAGTAAACATTCACTTTTCAGATCATCTTTTATAGCTATTGAATATTCTGATCATATTTTTTGTTTTTTTGTGATATTCAAATTGTTGAGGATCAACAATATGTGTTGATCTCTGATTTGCTTGAGAAGGTTGTATTTTGATAAGAACAAGATTAAATTTAATAAATAAAATATTAAATTTAAGCTTGAAGCTGTAGAAGCTTTCTAAAGTAGTAATTATATATATTTTGCATATTAAAATACATATAGAGAGCTCATAACCTGTTGAGGTAAGTGAATCATAATATTGTTGTTATTTGCTACAAGAATAGAGGTTCAAGGCTCATGCTAGACAGAGGATTGGAATTCTGTTGAAGAAACTAAAGACTGAGAATGCCAAGGGCACCAAGCCCATCACATGTGAAGCTAAACCCAAAAAGGTTAGCACAGCACACCAACATAGACATCCATCTTCCCTACAATATCAGCAGCTTTCTCAAATGAGGATATCTGGACTCAAATGGAGAATAACATAGTTTTCACATGCATTATGTTAATCAAAACAAAGCTGGCCCTCTTCATTTCTTTGTGAATATTTTCTCCCCATGCCTATTGGACTCCTTTCTCTTCTCCCCAGCCTTTTCGTCCGCGTCCTTGGCCCTCTCAGTCTCCTTCTTCGCCTCCTCGCTATCCCTACTGCTCTTCTCTTCCTGCTTCTTCTCCTCCTCACCGAGAGCGGCTATCTCTGCTTGCAACTCGTCCCTCTGGGCCTCCAGCTCTATCCTCTTCTCGTCCGAAATTGTCTGGTCTTCCAGCTGCCTTTCGACCTCCTCCTTGGCTTGCTCTTTCTCCTCTTTATCGGACCTTGCTTTCTCCGCCGCCTGATTGGCCTCGGTGGCCGCTTGAGAATACTCTTCCCCATGCTCCCAAGCGAGCCTCGCGATTTCCTTTTGTATGTAGGCGTCCAGCACGATGGGCACGTACTTCCCCAGACTCGTATCCCTGGCATCAAAGTCCTTCTCGGCGACGGTTTCGCCGATCAGCCTAACGGTGTCATGATAAACACCGTCCGCCAGCTCTGAGAGTTCCGCCAGCCCGGCGTATTTTCTGTCCGACTCTTCGGTGGCCCTATCCCTGCTGGTGCCTAGGAAAGTTTGCCTCGCAAGCAGTGTGGCATTTTCTTGTAGCTCTTTCAGCGTGTTTTCGTACGCCTTCGTGTTGAGATCTTCCGGTTTGATACTCGTATGCTGTGCCAGGTAGTCGCCGAGGTACGACTCAATCGTCGCGTCCACGGGCCGTTGGAGTGAGGCGTACTCGACGTCAAGGTTTGGGTGCCTCATCTCTTCCATTTCGATGTACTGGAACGTCTGCCTAGCTTGCCAGTGGGCTGCGACTTTAGTCTTCAGCTCCGAGGCGGCTTTGATTAAAGCGTCTTTGGCCTTCCGGGCTTTTTCTTTTAGCGTAGCTTCATCCTTCGCGTGGGACGCGGACGCAGCGTCGGCGTTTGACTGGGCCAGGGTGGCCTCGGATTTTCGTTGCTTGTACATCACATACGCGAACACCAGTCCCACAAGCGCAAGGCCACTTACGCCGATCCAGGCACCGATGACGCCGAAGTCGTTGACCCCGTCGCCTGTATCCTTAGGATCCGGAACTTTAGAGCGGTCCCTGTCATCTTTATCGGGAATCCTTTGCGCCGCTTTGACAGGTTTACTATCGCTCTCCCTGGCGCCCTGGCAGCTATGGGAGCTCGGCAGCTCGTTGATCTTAAACCCGACGTCAAATGTGATGGTGTACGTCTCGCTAGTACCATCATCTTCAGACGTAATGGTCCACTTATACGTTGCGTCCTTACCTGGTTGTAGGTCCGGCTCTTGAATATCGTCGAGCATGATTACCTGCTCGGTGGTAGGGTTCACAAACAGAGATTTGCCCTTCAAGTCAGGCGGCTCGCTGAAAAAGTACTCACCGCCGAACATCGCAAGGGACCATTTTGGCGGAGCTTCATATGCAGCTTTGAGGTTGGCAGGGGAGAGGTCGTAGCCACTATTATCTACGATATCTTGCATTTTGGCCTCGAGGTCCCAGCTGCAGGCGGCTTTGAAGATGTCCATGTAGATCTTTTCTCCGGAGGAGACATCTTGGATAAACTGCGCTGCAGTTCTTGACATATTGATGGAGGCTGAAGGACCTCGCTCTTTTCAGAAAAAAAGAAGATAGAAAGCTTCTGAAAGCCGCTATATCGAAAGGGTTGAAGCACTGTACCTCGATAACGTGTTGTCCTTGAGAAGAAAACAGCCTCGACGTTCCTTTTGACACGTAAGACCAATAGACTATATGGGGACGCTCCCGCTCATATATTAGAACGGTTAGTGGGGCAGCGAGGCAAGGGTGGATTGGGAAGATAGTCAGAGTGGCCGAAGTTTGAATATTTCCTCTACTGAACCCCGGAGGCTTAACCCCGCACAATTCGTGGCATGCTTTTGAGCCAGCTGTCTGCCAACATTTGCTCTCAAGTCATATTTGCGGTATCTTGAGTGAATCCCTGCGGCCCCTTGGCCCCGCCATGTTCATAGAAAGGATGGCAGCTATCAAGAACTGACTCGTTCGCTCTGCAGTTTCCTTTCAGTTGCTCGTGCAAATAAAGATGCGCTCCTCGCGAGAGCGGGCACGGAGACTACATCTCGCACGAAGATAAAGCCCGCAACTTAGTTGAATTTCTTGCTGGCCCGCACAACCCCGGTTCGGAGGGCTGTGAGCGCCTCGCTTCATCAGAGCCCGATGCAGCTGATCTGGTGACATCAAGCCTCATTGACATGCATTAGTTGCACTTCGTCTCTCTCCTCCGTTGGGTTCTAGCGTGCGTGTCCCATCTACAAAAATTCACGCTGTGCCGTGAAGCTCCCAAGAGGTCTTGGCAGTGAAACCGTCGTATTCAGGATTTCATCCCTAGCAGCACTTGAAAGGCGCTGGGGGCTGTGCTGTTAAAAGTAGCCCAGGTCTTTGGATAAGACGACCCCGTGGCCGAGGATGATGAGAGGTGAAGCTGCTAGATGAATCGCTAACTAGTATCGAAATTGCATGCCGGGGAAAATGCTCAGCTGGCTATTTTTCCTACCTCAGCATGGATATCCCCTCGAGCGAAACAGTTTTCATGGCATATGCGTGGCATTATTCCCCATGTTTACATTGTTCTTCTTCTGTGGCGAGTCCCCCGTGTTGACCCGTGCAAAACTCAGGTCTTCAGCGGGGGTGGACAGCATCTCCCTCAACTCAGGGGTCATGCTAATCCATGCCAGGTTCCGGGGTAAGGGCCCAGAAGTTGTCCAAAATCTACACGAGTGCCACAGCTACCCGGTTGTCTTCTTGGACGTAGACCAAGTCCGCCCAAGAAAGCGCGCAAGCCTTCGAGCCTCTGCATTCTAGTTCGAAACAGAATAAGCCGCAGAGACATCTATCCGTACAGAATGCTGTTATTTTCTAGTGGCAGTATCTGTCCACATTCCCCCAGAGACAAAAGGAAATTATGGGAGCTTTGTACCAAATAATCGTCTCTCTACGTGCTACATTCTCTTTCCACCTGCTATTTCGGATGCAGTCATATACGAGCTTCCGGCCCTAAATCGATCTTTCAAACATACTTGGTTGACTCTTTTACTGTTATTTCTTTTATTTTCTTCATATTTTCCCGAAAGGATTTGATCTCCTTCGTCATGTCGGCGTATTTGAGCATTGCAGTGCCCCCGAAGCGCATCATCATATGCGCAGGAACCCTCAACCTGGGTGTGGCACCTTGGGACGATTTCGTTGAGAAGGATATTGATGAGACTTTTGTTTATACTCAGAATTGTGTTCTCGCCGGAGATGTTGTGGCGAAGGATTTGAACCTTCATACCGGTTCGTTCCAAACTATCGGTATACCGATCATAAAGGTTACCGGTGCGCCGGGGGGAGATGCGAAATCAGCAGACGAAACACACAGAATTGGAGGGAATGGTGGGAAAGGGTACTCTTTCTACTTCTCGGCCGCCGATTTTGATTACAGGTCCAGGTTCAGAGTTGATGCGACTGGCGGGGACGGCGGTTGCGGCTACTTCGACGCAACGACGCAGTGGGGAGGGAGCGGAGGCGACGGAGGGCCTGGGGGGAAGATAAATATCATGTACGAAGACAGTTACCAGCGCGCGATGGGCAGCTACAGCGCGTATGAGTACGCCCTCTCAAAGGAAGATCCCAATCATCCGGAATACACCGAGCGTATGGTAAAGCAAGCCGCAAAGGAAACTGTCAATGTGATTCATGTCCTCGTGGAAACTGACAAGGAATATAACAAGGAAGTTATCACCGCAATGGCGGACCTTTACGAGCAGCTGAACAAGACGGACAAGCACAATCGCCCCGATATCACTATAACCTTGCAAGATTTGAAGGAAAAAATGGCAACGTTGAGGAAAACCCTGGAATATCGGAAACCAGGCGAGGGCATGCTCGTCGAGCTGAGGGACATCGCTGCTATCCATGGCGGCTTTCCTGGCCGGGGGTATAATTCCACGGATCGACCTGATAGTGGGGGAAGAGGAATATACGGCAGGAAGGGGGAACACTGGGGATACGGGTTTATGGATTACGACATGATTTGGGACAGGGATATATTTCTGTACCATCCGGATCAGATGGCGCTTACCTTGAGGGATGCGTACGCCCAGTATTTCAAGGGGGCCGGCGGGAGAGACGCAAAGGGCATCAAGGACTGTGCAGTGATTCTCGGCCAACTAATCAACAGGCTGGGGTTCCTGAGCGAAATCGATCCCAAGAACCCGACCAACAAGTCGAATTCTTCGCTCTGGAAAACCCTTAAGCGTTATGAATCCGACATGTTGGTTCTGCCTTCCATCACGACCAGGGATGGCCTTCCTGCATCCATACAATCTCTTCAGCGCACTTACACGCAGGCCGTGGCATATATGATACAGCTAGGCAGCGGGCAAGATATTTACGGCCATTCGAGTACATGGGTCCCCGTCGGGAGCTATGAACACTACCAGGCGCACACCAAGGAGTTCCTTGAACATTTCAAAGATATTGAAAAGAACTATCAAGCCTACATGAAAAAATATCGAAATCAAGTCATCACAAAAGCGGAAATCGATATAGCGATTGCCGATGCAAGTCGTGCAAAAGAGAAAATCAAGAGGCACCAGACGAAGATGAAGGGGCTGATACAAGATTTAATCCTGAGTATTAACCGCCTGAATGAGCAAGTAGCGCCTAAACGAAAGCTTGTTCTGGATTCAATCAAAGAGGTGGAATCGAAGATCAAAAACAGCTATGTGGTGCCCATCAAAGAGTTACTCGAGTCGGCGGTCTCCTTTTGTTTCATGCCCAGCAAGTTGATGGGTGCCGCTGTAGGTGCCCAGGCGGTGTGGAGCATAGTTGAAGGCGCATCGAATATCGAAGATGATGCTGGTAATGTCGTCAAAAAAGAATTTCTCATCACCCGTTTGCAGGAAATGGATGGTTCGGTAGAGAGTCTGAAGGACGGCATCGCGCTCACGAATGCAGGCAGCCTTAAACCAGGAGACGCCGGCGGACCGAAGCTCGTTGCGGAAAAGGAGAAATTGTTCACCCTGATCAAGCAATATAGGAGCCTGATAACGAATTGGAGCACTATTGAAGCACAATTCGACGACTACATCAACACCGTCACAACGCGCAATGACAGGGCCCTGCAATACAACCAGTATCTCATTTCATGGTGGCAGGACCAGCTAGAGCTCCAGCAGGTTCAGGATGATGCCGAGCGGTTGCGGAAGAAAGGTCTTGACCAAGTCAGTCCCAACGTCGCGGCTGTGACATCGTTTGTCCAGCAGGCTTACCATGCCACGGTTGACAGGATCTTTAAAGTCCTATACATGACCGAGCGTGCACAGCTCTTTTGGACTTTGGGCGAGCCCCTGGGCAAATTCGATACCATCAGAAACGGCGGCGTCGATGGGGGCAGTCTTTATAAAGACTTGCAGAGTCTTTCTGATACCATCCTCGAAGCGTACGAGGTAGCCTTAGAAAATAGCACTTCCGCGTCCCAAAAGTTCGGAGACTGGGGTGAAAAAGACGGCCCCAACACCGGGTTGACATACACCCTCTCAGCCACGGAGCTGAAGCACCTCCAAGCCGGCGAGGAGCAAACCTCAGTGAACATGGCGAACACCTGGGCACAGAAATCCAAAGACAAAAATATTTTCCTGGGCAAATACGACGTCCGTCTGACCAAAGTAAGATGCTTCGTCCAAGGCAACGACGATTTCAACAAGTATATGAAAGATAAAACCATCTCCGTCGTCCTCAATCACTCGGGAATGGAGACCATCGTGGACAAGAGCAAACACCCGCACCATTTCGATCACAACTCGCGCAGGTTCATGTTCGAGTATAAGCACCCATTTGACCCGAAAGATCCAAAGATCATCACCGACGGCACGATGTACGACAGCCCGGATGCTAAAACATGGGAATATGCTCGCGCTGGCCCGTTTACGACGTGGAATATTGTCTTGGGTAAGGCATTGAACCCGGATCTCACAACGGAATATCGGAAGAAAATCACAAAGGTGACAATTGAATTTACCGGATGGGCGAAAGCTGCTTAACAGAGACCGATGGGTTGATTCTTTTCAATTGTCAATTCTTTGCTTATATAGTTAACAACTAGTTTATCAACCAACACCATGAGCTGATGTGCTGAATCGTGCCTCAACGAATCGGTCTTCCAGCTCCAAGTCACAATGTAACCCTTGAATATGATCCTGTTGAGCTGGCTCACTGTAATTCTACAACCCTGTCCTGCCTCAGTCCGATTTGGTTACTTCTCCCAGGAGCAAGATATCATAAGGAACACGAACATCACTGCTCAGCACGAGGACATCCTTTGTCCCAGGACAAAGAAAGTTAGTGATTGCCATGAGGTTTCTCTTGGAGTTGCATTCCCATGTGGGCCAGGTGAGTCGACTGAGAAACTTCTCTACGAAATACTTCGTTTGAGAATGATTCACATCGGGCGCCTCCCAGCTTTTGGTCCAGTCCGAAGAACTAACGTTGAGGGTCGCCTGTAGCGCCAGACCGTGGACGTGGAACCTTCCTGCTTTATTCGCCTTGGCCGTGTACTTCCACTCCTCGGCATAAATTCCATGAGGGACGACTCTAGCGGCTCTCACGGTGAAAGGCACCGTAAGATTGGATTCCCAATTGATAGTTCCGTTGGCGGAAACAGTCAAAGCGGGCTTCGGGGACGCTTTGACGGCTTTCTCTACGTCGGCGACGTAGATGTAGTCGGTACCATTCCAGCTTGCGACGCCGGACGCATCTGTGAAATTCTCGTCATTGTCCTTCATATATTTGGCCGCATCTTCGGCCGGGTATTCTCCGTTCCAAGTCTGCTTCAACTGGAATCCCGCGCCTCGATGCTCAGGCATGAGATCGTCGCCGACACTGGTGAAGGCGCGAGTATATGAATCGTTTCTGACGTCCTTGAGAGGCTGCCATATACTAATCGACTTTTTGAACGAAATGCCGAGCATCGCCCACAGAGACAGATCCAACGGATCCCAGAAGAGTGTCCTCGTATTTATTATGATGCTGGCGCTGTGGCCTGTTGGTATAGGGTATAGGTCGTTGATCTTCCCCGTCTTGTCAGTTTCGCAGAAGTTCGGTTTCAAGTCTCCTGCGATGAGCTCGAAGGCGGTGGCGTCGGTTTTGATGTAGGCGCTAACACAGGCCAGCGAGGCATCTCCACCACCGTCTTTGCTGTTAGCTGACAGAGAGTAAATCTGGAATGCTATGTATTCTGGCCTCACGCACGGGGTGCTAGAAGAGTCATCGTTGCCTGCCAGGGGGAGTGGGAAGTAGATTCCACCCAGATCACCCCTTATGCGCGATTTGAGCGAGTCCAGCAGGGCTTTGGGGACCCGCCTTCTGGCCTCCAGCTCCTCTGCCCCTTCCCACTCGATGGATAGGGACCAGTTATCCCTAAGTTCGATATTGAACGCCATTTTATTCTGGTATGTCTCACTGTATTTATTGAAATCGAGCACGGTTGCATTTTTCTGCAGGTATATCAAGAACTGTTAGGCCCTTATGAAAGTGTTCTCGGCTTAGCCGAAACGATGCTTAGAAAAAAGGGATAAATAACTGCGAACAGAGGGTTACTTGCCTCTTTGGGGAGACCGGAGCCATGTTGAGACGCGCTCAGGGATGAAATCGGGCTTTTCACAGTCAAAACCCATCCCTTGTTCAATTTTCTATACGCGTGGATGTACCGCGACATGCCGCTGATTATGTTTATCAGGGTTTTCGCAGTAATCGACATCTTAAGAACCACTTGGCCATCGGCCGTGAAGCTCAGCCTTGTCGGAGGTTCAATCCACATTTTCCAATCCAATTCAAATACCAGCTTCTTTTGATGCCCTTGCATCTCGTAAGTCTTCACCCCGTCGACATTATAGGCGCGATTCTCCGACTTGCTAGCATCCAGACCTTTTTGGAGAGTAGCATTGAAGAGGTCAAGTCTGTAGCTGACAACGGCGTCCCAACCGCTTGCCCGGGTCTCTTTGGCCATTCGCTCGACAAGGGCATCTGGTGAAAGACTCTCGCGGCCCATTATTGTTTAAATAGAAGTGTATATCTGATGATTGGCGAAGTCCTGTTGGAGCATGACGGAATGGGGCATAGTATAAAGAATATATATGCCTTCAAAGATGCTTTTAGACAGATCAGTCAAAAGGCGAAGAAAAAATCATCAATCTTCGTACTCCATCGGACTCTTGAGGAAGATATTGTCTGGGATAGTGTCGGCTGGAGCTTCCATTAACTGGTTAACGAGGAGCTGCCAGTGATTGCAGTGCATGAGATAACATAAACTGCCACTAAATGATCCCCAGACACCCATGTATGAGCATGGGAGAGTAGACATCATTGTACTCCGTATTCACTGTAGGATGTCTGATCAGATATTCAGAGTCCTGTCAGCCAAACTCAGGTCCAAGACCTTGGCTTTGTCGACTAGCCTTGTCTTCAAGGATTCAGATTCCACTTGGACCAACCCAGAGAACTGTCGTTGATATAGTTCTAGTTGGCAGCGGGTATCTCCGGTGGCGTAGGGAAGAACTTCCAGGCAAGAACAGGGACAGAACCATAACTAACAGGGAGTTTCTTCACTCTGTCCCGCCCACCCAAAGAAAACCCCTCCCCCATGCTGCAAAGTCACTTTGGCATCCTCTGTACATGCAGTTATGCCCAAGCTGGAGCTGTAATGATCAGGGTGCTGCCCAACCTGCCCACCCTGATGCTGAGGACAAGGATGTGCAAAGCATCCAGCAGGCATTGGGTGGCTGAGAATGTTTAAATCAGACCGGTTCTGGCCATTCAAGTCCATCCTTGACAGAGAAAACTACACCATGATGAGAGGAAAGTGATTTTGCAACCAGAGACATCAAAGTTATCACTTAAACTAATGACATATTCAAAGCAATGAGCCCTTCTCCCGGTAAGAGATAGTACTCTTGCAACATTGTGTGGCTGTATCAAAATCCAGTGCAATATCTGATCAAGCACATGCTACTGAGCGCGCTAACTCTCTGATATTTACAATACATATAGTCTTCACCTTTGGTGCCAAAGATAAGACTGATCAAATCAGTAGTACCGTCAATGAAAATGGCTACGGCGTAGTGGTCCGCCGTGACAAAAATGGCACCGACGACTCCAAGTTCTACCTCAAGAACATCGTATCCGGGATTCCAGCGGATGGAGAATGGCCAGAGATCAAGCTCATCGCTCCCGACGAGAAAACGCAGACTTACCACCCAAAGCATCCCTTCTACCTCGGGTATGACAGGGTGACCGCGAACCCGATTCTCTACGTCCACGCGTTGGCCTCAGGGGAGAAAGTCGACTACATCCAGCATACCAGCCTGTCGGATTACAAGCTGTCCAACTTCAAGAGACAAAAGTCCGACTTCCACGGCTGCTCCAAGTTCTTCGCAAAGCGTAACCTAATCGCGCTCTGCGACGCCAAGGACAACTACCGCATTATCAGCGGCCACGAGGACCGTTTCTCGTTCCCGACGAGTGAGAGGCTGCAGCGGGTGATATTGAACATCGGCATGACTGGAGGGCTGTACCCCATCCCCGTAGTCCTGATGGACGCGAAGGCTGGCTCGTCGGAGTCGCGGAGGATAAAGTGGTGGAAGGCTGAGGATAGCACGGAAAGTTACTTTGAGAACTCCGGCACGAAGCCTGAGGCCATGGTGTGCTTTGATGATTACATCGTCTGGCACAGCAATGGGGCCGATGACAGCACGCCCACCATCGGATGGATCGATATCAAAAGAACGGGGAAGCCGACGACGTCCTTTGAATCCTTCTCTGTGTCGAGGACGACCGTCGCGATTGCGAATTCGGGCGACAGGTTCAAGGACGGGGGGCATACGTGGTATGCTACCAGCGACGGTGGAGTATACTACTTCGATGCGTCCAAGAAGAAGGCTACCAAGATGCTCACCGCGAGTGATATCAAGGGTGCCTCTTCGACGGTCGCTCAGCTTTGGGCGGATAAGTATTTTCTGTATGTCCTGACGGGCAATGGCTTGGGCGCCGCTTTCAAGATTACGACTGTTGTTTAAGACGGAGGATGCTTCGCGGCCTGTAGGAGTGGCAATCCTTAGGGCGGAGAATATTTTATTTAGTCAGATAGCCATATGTATACCCCCTACCTTTTGCCCAAAAATGTCGTAGCTCAACATTTGGGATGTTATTAGCAAAGTAACAAACAGAGAGGTTTGAAAAACGACACCTGGCATTCCTTCACTACCTCCCATTCCTTTCTACTGCCTCAATGATACCGTGAGAACAAGTGGGAGTGTTGATGTGTTGCACTAACCCTTTTGGATTTAGCCTCACACATGATGGGCTTGGCACCCTTGGTGTTCTTGGTCTTTAGTTTCTCTGACAGGATTCCAACCCCCTTGCCTAACCCTTGTAGCAAATAACAACAACATTGTGATTCACTTGCCCCAACACCCCCGAGCTGACAAAAGTAAAGGACGCATGCACCTCGCCACAGACGGGCGGCAGCCTGTGCTGTTCTCGGATTGGACTGCCTCCCATTCGTTTTGGATGGGCAAACTTGTAGAAGCCGGGGCTACAGGGGCGGCGAATCTCCACCGTTCAGACCATTGGGATACCCTAGTCTTGGGAAGGTATTCATAGTCCATGAAGGGGCAAATTGGAGCATCGGTCCTTGTCAGTGCATGTGCTCACCACCAGCTACCATAAACAACACATCACTAGCCCAATATCACGCTTTTCGTTTCGAGCGGGGCTATTTGCTCCAGAGGCATTCTCACTTTATTCAGTAGCCGCGATATCGTATCCTTTGTTATTGCTGTGCTTCGATTATTGTTCAAAGAAACATTTCTGGCCATGATTATCTACCACGGAGTTCTCCAACGTGGCGACCATGATGGAGCATTCGTGCTCATGGTGCCAGAGGGCTTATCAGACGGCCAGGCCTTCACTGCGTACTGGATGTTAGCGGGAGTTCCAAACTTCTACCGCGGAACATTCGACGATGCTTCAAGTTCGGCGGATATCCCCGCTGGGACCCTTCTTCACAGGGGAGAAAACTGTGAATTCTCTTTTATATCCCGCGAAGACGGAGGAGGAGAGAGCGAATGCTTCGACAGCATCGATATCGAGTTTAGCTGGTACAACAAACGCGGTATCGTTGCCTCGCTCTACCTGACCGGAGACAACATCGTGAATGACGGAAGCGACAGAAACGCTGCAGTTTACGCAGGTATTCTCTCAGGTCACCCACAAACCGACGGGCGGCTCCTCGTGCTATCAATATTTCAGGACAGCGCGGTGGGCGAGACAGCTCAGGTCCTACTATTCTCGCCTGTAAGCGCACATGTTGAGCGAGAGAGACTATTTATCGAAAGGTTTGAGGGCAGCGAGGCAGGGATCGTTGCGTTTGCCGCAAGCTCTAGCCGGTGGACGCTGGAAGCCGACAGGCGTGACTTTGAGAAAGAATCCAAATTCACGATATCTCTGAAGTCGACTGAGTCCGGGGTTACGGGCTCGGCAACCGTGGAGCTGGTGTCTCCAAGTATACCAACAGGCGCCATCACCGTTACCCTGATCAACGACTCCGGCCAGACTTTACAGTACTGGACCGCTCGATCGGATCCCCATTTGGCAGAAGACCTCGTCAGCTTGGGGCTGGATACTTTGTCCTTCGTGGCTCCGAATTGGTCCCCTACGAAGGCCCTGCAGACGTTCGCCAACGGCGTTAAAGTCTTCCAGAAGATCAAAAAGAAGATCAGTATCTTGTCCGGTGCGGGGGACCTTGCAAAGTCATCTATCGATCTCCTGCAGCGCAAAACGGGTAAAGTTAACAGCACAGATTTCCTGGAGCCTAATCAAAGAATCACCTTCTGGGACTTTGATGGGACAATCACGGGAGGGATGGACATGTCACTCACTTGGTTCAGGCTCGATTACGAAGAAAATAAAAAGACAGCGTTGCTACATTTCGATACCGCAACTACGACTTTCAACAAGCTAAAGTCGTACTCGGAGATCCGCGCCAGCGAACTCTTCGAAGTCCCAAAGGATTTCAAAACGGGCGAGAAGTTGAAGCGTCAGGGAAGCCGGTTGCGCAGCACGCTGCCGGAAGGGTGGACTGCAAAGTCGAAGACCATCAGTCTCACTACACCTCTTGTCAGGTGTAATTTTCACGGGCAGAAGATCAGCAACCTGACCCTGACCTGTGGCCAAGTACCGGACTGCTCCACCGCGGATTCCCTCCCGGCATGGTCGGACGGCGTGCTGTATAATCCCATTACAACCAAGGTGTACAAAAAGACGTTTGATATATACTGCTCGGATGTCAGGACGGATGCCGCTGTGGGCTACCTGGATAACAGCCACCTTCTCTACGTCGAGGGCGACGTGGACGAGTACAAACCTCTCGATTATCATTTGTACACCACGAAGGGTACGTTCATCAGGCACTACTTTTATCAGCCCCCTTCGTCGTCAAATATAAGCAAGATGCGGGCGACGGCGTGGTCACACAAGGTGGTCTTCCTCGAGTACGCGTTTATCCAGCCGGACCCGACGGGAACCTACAAGAACCTGCAAGTGGTAGAGTTCCCCCGTGAGGTTGGCGATCCAAAGATCGCAACGGGTTTGCAGGCCCCTCCGCCGAGGTCGCGCTGGTACGAACCGTTCCTGGACGCCGTCCGGGAAGGTCTGTGCTCTGGAGATAACTGGAAGAAGCGATACTGGGCGTATTGGTTCGACCCGGATAAGGATCGCGTGTACGGAGCGGTATACAAGAGCCGAAGGGTCAACGAGAAGGCGGGGGTATCGCCTTGGATTATCAGGCGCAGGTATCCGCCTACGCACGAGAATCTGAGGCCGGCAGACTGGCCGGTCGTAGCGTTTGTATGCCAGGGGGACATGCCGATTAATTTCAATGATTGTAGCGTCGCCGACGAGGAAGTGAATGCGTCCAAGTATGACACCTAGCGAGAAGCAAATGCTCCATTGTTGTATTGCTGTGCGTTTTGCAAGAGCTCTCTGTCCGATTCAGCCATATCACCTATCCCATTGTTAAATCAAGTGTCAGTCATTGAGCGCTGCAAAAGATGTCTACCATGCTGTTGTTGCATCCAGTAGGTGTATAAGCACCTGTCCTCAGCTATCTTCAAGCATGACTGAGCTTGTATCTGGATATCTGTGTCTGCGTGAGAAGGTTACTCAGACAGTAAAGTTTCCATGCCTCCATTGTTAGAAGCTGGGAAGAATCTGCAAGCCTGGACAGAGTACTTTGCAATGGTATTTCTTACCACAGAGAATCCCCTTCTCTGGGAGGACTAGGGTGCAATTCATGAGCTGGTATTGGCTGGTATGGACTAGGATGCATGGAGAAAGGAGGAGATGAGCCCACTACATAATTGTATTAGTCATATAATCCACATGTTTTCTATTGATTTGCAAGTGTTTAGATGTTCCAGTTACTCTAGATTTTGAGAGTTTTCTCTAGGGGCATGATTGGCTGTCAGGAGAGTGAGATGACTTACTGAAAATAATAGTCTACTCTGAGATTATTGTGTGGTTCAAGCTTTGTTAAATGGAATACTAGCTAGAGTCCTCATATCAAAAATAACATTATTATTATTATTATTATTATTATTCATTATAGTCTTATGCAGTTAGAGACTATGAAGACTACCTACCAGCTCTATAAGCTGTAGAATTTAACTAAATACACAAGAAAACTGATGGTACAGCTTGAACAAATTGTAAACAAATTAAGAAAAAGCTTGATCAGGCAAATGAGAATTCTTTCCACCACAGAAAAATGACTGCAACAGCTTTATTTTTTCTTTTAATTTTTAATTTTTTATTTCAATAGCCACTGTCTTGTGACCAGTTTTGTTTCTTTAAGAAATGAGACTAACCACTTCAGACTCAAAGATGTTTCAAAAAGAAATTTTAAAGAAAGTTGTGAAATATTCAATTTTTTTTGAGTTTTTAATCTTGCTTTCTTTCAAACAGAACAATCAAGCAGTAAATATTGTAAATTTTCTTTGCAGTTATAATGTCTGCACTTTTCAGACAGATAATTTGATAATCTCACTAAATAAGAAGCAAAATAATCATGTTCAATTTTCAATTGAATAATTATGAATCAAATTTGTTTGAGGATTTTCAGAGTTGAGGCTTTTCATTTTAACTTAGATTCAAATTGAGAATAGTGATTTTCTTGACTTTTTCTATTAAATAAGTTTTCAAATCATTCAAGCATTGTCTGTTCTTTTATTTGTCTTTTAATAAAGATTAGAAATATATACTTCTCAGAAAAGACTTGTGCTAGTTCAGTGTTTTTTTTGACAGCTCTATCAGCTTGTTCATTTTCATAAACATTGATATAAGCTGGCACTTAATGCAGGTGGCTGATTATATTCATTTTATTCAATTAAGAAACATAGTTTCTGATTGAGTTAAGATAGTATAGTTCAGAATTTAGATTTTGATTGCACATTCTCTTTATAGCAGCTTGAGTATTTAAAAAAATCCAAACATTTTTATAAGAGCTGTTATTCTGAATTAATGAGATAGTAATTTTAAAAACTTTATCTATTGCAAAAAGTTCTGCATCAAAAACTTTCATGTGTTTGTCTAAGTTTCATGAATATCTCATATTTTCATTCAAAATATATAGACCTGCACCATTTATTTGATTCTCAGATTGAGAATCATCAGAATAAATGATTAGAGATTCATTTAATTTATAATTTGATTGATTTAATAGTTGATTGTGATTTTCTTTTGCAGTAAGCTTATCAACTTCATTGATGTTTATATCAATCAATTCATCAAGATTTTTGAATCATGATGCATTTCATTTTATTTTAATTCTCTCAGTTTTTAGAGAAAGTAGCTGGTTTGAAATCATTAAATAAATTCAGAATAGTTGACTTGAGTATTTTTTAATTTTTACTGATTTTCTTCTTTTTCTTTTACTTGAAGTCTGTTCAACTTGTTTTATATTATTTTTATTTTGATTTCAATTCAGATACTTCCTCCAATCTAGCTTCAGTCCACAATTATAAGAGTGAATAGCTTGATGAATGTCTTTATTTTATAACATGAAATTTTGACAGTTTCAATAATCTGAAAACATAGTTTCTGCATATTTATGAATCTTACTTTTGGTGGAGGAAATTGCTGCTTCAATCTTCATTGCATATATTGAAAAGATTCTGAAAGCTTCTAAGATCTTTCTTAATGCAGAATTTTGAAGCTTTTCAAATTTCTCAAGTAGAAAGTTTTGATTATTTCATCAGATAGAAAATTCATAGTCAGCTACTGAGATAATACAAGCAATATACAGCTGTCTCATTGCTTGAAAGCTGATTTCTCTTTCAGTATTAGAGAGTCTTATTATTTTATTTAGAACTCTCTTAGCTGCTGCTATTTTAAATTTCACATGATATTTAAAAGTGAGCTTTGTGTCAAATCAAATGTCCAATCATTTAACTATTGATTTTAGTTTGAATTCTCTGTTATTCAGTATTATGGAATTGCTTTCCTCATAATTTGCACAATGAATAAGCTCAGTTTTATCCATATCAAACTGAATAACTTGAGAATCTTGTCTTTTAAGCATAACATCAACTGCTTTCTTAAGAAGTAGACAATTTTTCTCAATTAAAAAAGAGAAAACTATTAAATTAGTATCATCAATATAGCTAGAAATTCTCACATTCTGCAAGTTCTAATGATTGTGGTTTTCAAAGAGATATTTTGTATATAATTCATAAAGAACAGAGAATAGAGAAGAGTCTTGTGGAACTTCAATATTAATAGATGATGATTCTTGTTGTTTATTATTAATATGATCTCAGATTAGATGCAAGAATAGAAGAAGAAGAATCCAATAAAATGTCATACTAGATAGATTTAATTGAAAATACTAAACATGAGAAAGAAAAGAGAGATCTGAGATGATTATGCAATATATACTCTCTTGCTCTGAGCTCTTGCTCTAACTGTACTAATAACAATTGTCTGAAGAATTTGATATCATGTGATCTCAAGTCTGATGGCTTCTTTATCATTTCTATATCA